GAAGAATGGTCAAAAATTCCTATAAACACACTCCTCAACCTTGTGGACAGCCTTCCCAGAAGAGTTGAAGCTGTAATAGCTGCAAAAGGTGGACCGACATCATATTGAACCCTATGGGTTAGGAATGGGATGGCACTTAAGTTCATATGTGAGTCAAGGCAGGTGACCGAATACTTTTGGTAATATAGTGTATCTTCATTCATACAGTATGCATCTATTTTGACGTTTTTCTGCACTTGTTCTATAAGATCATCTGATTGACTATGGCATGGAGTGTAGTAGGAAGATTGGTGGTATTGGTTAATTGGACTAATTGTGGCTGTTGACTAACTGTGCAGAGTTTGTCATCAGTAAGACCTTTGTATACAAGATGATGGTTTGTGGGAATTCTTTCATGAACTGGTGATGGTTTAACCCACAGGTTCCCAACCCTGATCCAACTAATCTGCTAATTAACAGCAAATCCTGAGTTGAAGTGGATGTGTTTGAGCAGGGAAAAAACTCAAACGTGCATGACAGGGGACATTCCAGGACCAGAGCTGGGAACCCATGGTCTCACCAACCATTTTGTATTTTTAACTCTATGTCCTACTAAATTCATGCTTGGCTATTTTGGATTTTATTCCATTTTTGAGTGTGAGTTTTTGAAATTATCTTGGACTTACTGGTGAGAAGGTGTATTGTCCGTGTGTGTGTTGGTGCGATGTTCTCTGATGGACTGGTGTCCCATCCAGTGTCCAGCACAATCCTGACTAGGATAAAGCAGTTACATTATCTAAATGAATCAATGATTGAACAGTCTTGATCCAGCATTTATGGTTGCCAGTTCACACTAGTCTCATATCTAAATCTGTCTCACTCTTGCTCCTGAGGTTGTTGTAAAGGTAAGCTCTGTAGTCTCTCATCAGAAAGCCACTTATTCCGGGATTAACCAAGTGTTAAAGAACCATCTGATCTCAATAAACAAACCAGCAGCTCCATATAATAGACTTCCAGACAAGTGTATCAGCTAGACAGGTGGCGCCTGTGCAATCAAGGTGGTTTCAAACTCAACTCGCAAAGACTTGGCAATGTGGTACTTATTACCTTCTACCTTCATGCATGGCTCTTATTCTCCTCCACTTCACCATCAAATGCAGACAACACAGTGTAAATCATACCACTGAGTTTACTTACGCCAGTAGTTTTAGACAAGTCCAATATACCAATAACCCCCCCCCCCCCCCCCCCCCCCCCCAAAAAAAAAAAAATAAAAAAAAAATAAAAATTAGTGTGCACTCCGAATGACTGTTTGTAATATAATCAGTTAGGAAATACTAATATAACTTTGTGAAATCCTCTCCAGTATTTCATCATTAAATCAGCTTCTTTAAAAGAGAACAGATGAAATGGAAACACGCATTACAACAAGAAGAAAAATAAGAAAAAATATGCTCATGTGACAAAGTCAAGTAGATTTAATGCTATTTTTTTAATACTGAGTGTCAACTGAGTAACATTACTAGATTTTGATAACTGATTAAACAAACTGAATAGCAGTGGTTTTAATTTGGGGGTGGAATATTGGAATTTTACTTGGAATATCCAACCTCCTAGACCAGGGGTAATCAAGTAAAATTTGTAAAGGTCCAGATGCATAACTAACATGACTGTTAAAATTTGTAAAACTCCGGATGAACAACTAATATGGCTGAATGGCAACAACAATTATAACTAAGCTGCATCAGTTTGAAGTTTGTTATGTTTTGTTTCACATTGGTGCTTCATGTTACCACTTTTAACTAATGCCACAGACTCTGAGCAGATGAGACATCTGGTTTTAACTTGAAGTGGGGGAAATGAACACATACTTCTCTGCCTGTTCATCTTTAAAAATTCAGTTTTTGTCGAACAAGCCATGTCATCACTGCACTAATCAGACCAGTGAGAGTGAACGGAACAAACAAACAAAAACAAAACAAAAATCTTTGAAATCTGGAAACTCCTTTCCTTTCACAATGAGCTGTCTTCAGGTAAATAATTTACATTAATGCATGTGATTGGCTGCAAAGTGTTACAGCTAAAGATCATCTAAAGAAGCTGCAATGGCTCAAAAAAACCTGAACTGAATGAAATACGGCCAGTTTTTCATATGTTGAACAGTATTTTTCCAGTGCTTGATTTGATCCACCAAAATGCCTTGCTGGTTCACATCCAGGCTGCAGTCTACAATTATGCATGGTCTCCTAGGCCAATGTGCAATGGAATGCCATTTGACATTCCAGCTTGGTTGGAAATCAATAATCCTGAGAGGCAGTAATATGATGGCATGTTAACATTAAACCTTTAAACAGCGGTACTAAAGACTCACATTTGTGTCAGATTACCTCCATGGTGTGATAATAAAACCTGCTATGCACATGTGTAACCACACAAATGACCACAAAACCTTTCCTTGTTTCTTTGTACATCATCTTTTTGAAATCTAGACTCTAACATTTCTGGTGGAAATATTAGGTAGAAACTTCTCATATCAGATTTAGTTTGGAACATAGCATCAGACATTTGGACTCTAGATGAAGGCCAGAGTATGGAGCCACTTTTCCTCCTGCTAAATAGTTCCTCACTGCTTTTGGGCATTATAAAGCCATGTAGGTTTTTAAACCCATAAAAGCTCAGCTTTGCAAATGAACATCTCTTCCTGCAGATTTCAGCTCCCTGCTGCTCCCACTGCCCTGTGGAGGAGGTTATGAGATTTTTGTCTTTGCACAAACATACAGGCCGTACAGTGCACCCGGGCTGTAATTGGGGGTGGGGGGGTTAGAGTTTGTAGAAGCTGCATGTGGGGTCCTGTGAGGGAGGGCAGTGTACACACAGTTCAGAAGCGTGTGTGTTTCTTCAGATTCAATCCCTCGAGTGACATTTGGTGCCGGCAGCTGGTCGATTGTTGCACAGTGCATGATATCTGCACTAGATTTATAAAGAGGATATCACTCACAAACAAACATTCCAGCGATCATGTGTCACCAACTCCATATTTGCACAATATGTGCTGCTCTGTCTTACTTGTGATGCACATCGGGGGGATTTATTCATTGGGAAGACATCCAAAGTGACTCAAGTGAGCCAGAATCTAATCAAAACAGAGTGGTGAACAGTTGAGAGTTAATGGTCTTGCTCAGGAACCAAGTAGATTCAAATCAGGATAATTTACTGTAGTCAATCTACATAATAGTATGCTTTGGGGAGGTTGGAGGAAACTGGAGAATCCAGAGGAAACCCACGCAGACACGGTAAGAACATGCAGAACTCCAGACAGACAGCATCCCAAGCTCAGAATCGAACCATGGGGCAGTGAGGTGGCAACACTACCCATTGCACCTGCTATTTAATTGCTGTTTTATACTTTTAAATATTCAGTATAATATCAAATGATAAAGACTGGGTCCCTGGAGGACTAGTGGTTAGGCCTCGGCGCTCTCACCAGAGCGGCCCGAGTTTGATTCCCGGCCAGGGAACCAACCTCACATGGCAGAGCACTCCCAGTACCGGTCCCCAGCCCGGATAAAACTGGGCAGGGTTGCATCAGGAAGGGCGTAAAAACTGACAAATCAAATATGCGGCCCAATGTTCCGCTGCAGCAACCCCTAACAGGAGCAACTGAAAGAATAAAAACAACAACAGCAACATTAAATGATAAAGATCACTGGATGCAGTTGCATAGTGATATAAAGCTGTACATGTTTGAGCCAGAAAAGGAGAATTGTAACACCAAGAAGAGCAAGAGGGTGTGGCAGGGAATCCCAGTGGTTATATGATATATTTGCATAATGGTAAAGCATTGCAGTGCCAGGACATTTATAGATGAAAAGAACGCTATGAAATCATGAATTCTGTTAGCACACTGAGATAAAATAAGAGATAAAGTACTGTGCTACAAAAGAGTACATAGACATATACCCTAGACAAGTACCATGATAAGAAATCCCAAAACCACACACCACAAGGTTATTTTAATCTGATGTGAGTTACAATGAGACAGAAACATCCATATTCTAGGAATCAAATGTTATAGCCTTTTCAAAAGACAATTTTAGCCCTTGCAATCTAATGTACTGTATATGCTTATACTGGATGGAGATAAGCAACTGGTGCTGCCCCAGTACTATCAGAATGCTTCATAAACACACAGCATTTACATGTATTTATTTGGCAGAATGATTTAGCAATGCATAGCTAATTACTGAGAGTTATGAACTCTCATAGTCCTGGGATTTGAAATGACAACTTCCATTCACTAGCGTAGAACCCTTAACTACTGACCGCCCACTGAATCCTAATGGAAAATACAACATCAGTGTAGTGACCTTAACGGCTCCTGACATTCCACACATTATATTTCCCCTCTGTGTCATAACTCATGTTCTGCAACTACTGGCGGTCAACTACATAAACCAGGGGTAAGACGGGACACTTTAGCGTGCTCCCTGCCTCCAATAAGTGCCAAATGCCTTTGTGAGTTTAGCCAGGCGTGTTAGAGCAGAGATGCTGATAAATGTTTAACCGACATGTTCTCTTTTCGGGGATTTCAAAACTCTTATCCAGGTCATGTAGTTGGAGTTTACTATGTATAAAATTAAGTAAATTTATATGTAGTAAATTTATATTGTTTAGAATATCCAGTTTATCCAATATCTTTCTCTGCTTCGAAAATCCTCCTAATTCTAGATGTGTGTAGCTGAAATGTAGATAAGTGATGGTGAAAATGGAATGCCACTAACACCCCAAAACATGTTATTTTGCAAGTTCTACTGGATTGTCCTTACGTGTGAATGAGTGTGTGTGTATGCATGGTGCCCTGCAGTGGACTGGCATACCACTCATGGTTTGTTCCTGCCTTGTACCCAGTGTTTCAGGGATTGGTTCTGGATCCACTGCAACCCTGACCAGGATAAAGCACTTACAGAAGATGAATGAATGATAGGTCATTTTTCAGACCAAGTTGCTTGTTAATTATTATCTGAATATGATTTTTTAGCCTTATTAGAGAATTTTCCCTAAATATAAATAGTTTCCTCTTGGAAAAATAATTTGTAATATGGTCCTACTTTTAGTGAAATCTTTAAAGGGTTCATTATGACCTAAAAAGAGCATAAGACTTAAAAGGAATACCACAGTGTTTGTTTGAAACCGTTGAAAAAATAAAAAGCTCCAGAGCTGATTCATGGTTTTAAAACAGTCCCATCCCTCTGAACATCCCTTTTCTATCATAACATCCCGAACATGGTTGTCTCCCTCCGGCCCTGACCTGAAGGTCACGGTTTTTCCTGCAGATCCAGTCCAAACAGTGTTAGTGTAGCATCCCCCGCTAACTCTCCCTTGACAGAGCTATGTTTGGCTTTCCTTTCCGACACCTGTCTTTCATTATTTAATGGGTTATTAGTGGATTAAGAATTACCTCAGATCTACTGAAGATCAGAGTGTGGTGTGGTTAGAAAGTTGCAAGGGATTTTTAAACATATATCTTAATCTTTTTAGAAATGTTAAAGACAGAGAGTTCAGAACCGTCACAAATATGTTTTCACATGGTGCATGCTATAAATGTCCATCACCCACATACACACCCTTTTCCCTGAGCCAAACATACACATACTTGGTTTTGTTTTAATAAAAGCTAGAAATTTTTAAGATTACAATGTATTAGTAAGGACAGAGAAATTGTGTCAAATTGCACCAAACATGAAAGCATTGACTTAAAACTGTGCATCTGTGGGTTAATAAGGTAATCCCATCAATACCAGTAGAAAATCATGTATACCTGCATGTGGAGTATACAAGCATTACTGACTATCTATCCCCATCTGCCACACACATGCACTCACCCACCCACTCCTCTTAACTCAGCTGCCTGAATCACCCATCCATTACAGAGGTCCAAATTAGAGAGTGCACGAAAGCATCTTTCAAAGATTAGGGGCGTGTTGACATTGCTTCCCAGCTGGATGTGTTCCCACCCGGTTCCTCAGCAAAATCCCCCATCTCAAAAACATAACTCTTGGATATGTGTATTACTGAAAGTAAAACCTGCCCTATTTTGGTACAACGGAGTGGAGTGCTTGTTTCAAGTAGCCCTTATTAGTCTGGAAAGAACGTAGAGGCCATCCGCACTGTTTAGGCTTTTGTGAGACATGTGTACGAACAGCAGCAGGGCCATGATTTATAATGAAACCTGTAATTACTGTGTTTGCTTTACTTTAGAAGGCCAACCTCACACAGGACTGGCCATAAAAAGGCCCCAACACGAAGTTGTAAACCAAGCAGGTTTACTCCATCATGAAGAGAAATATGATTTTGTAGTGTCTGTTGTTCAGCTGAGATCCTGCTGTAGTTCCTGGTTGAGTTGGAAAGTAGGAAAGATCTGGAGGTTCGAGGGTGATCCATGGGGGAAGGTTGGTGAGGTTTTGGGCAAGTTCAAGAGGTTTGGAGAGTGGAGTACTATGCTGCATGGAATGGGTGCAAATAATGTAAAGTATTTGTAAGAAGTGTACAACTGAATGTTGGGTGTATAGTGGAAATCTTGGCAGTGGAACATTTTAAGATAATTTTGGGCATTTAAAGGACGTTATGCAAGTCTTTATTGGCATTTGGGCTGTGAAGAAAAGATTGAGTCAGTTCAGGAGTATGGGGCAAGTTTGGGTACTGTTTGTAATGGGTGAAGCATGAAGAGCTCTGGAGACTGTTTGATAAGGTGTGGTCTATTTAGTGGAAGCTTGAGGTATTGCTGTGATTTGGAAGTGTTTGTGGTACTTAGGGGTATGTGGAGGATTGGAGACTGAGAAGAAACTGAGAAGATTGTGGAGTTCAAAGGAGTTGCGGTATTTAGATGAAGTTTTGAAAACTTTTTTTTTTGTTTTTGGGTCATGTAGAGTAAGTTTGGGTATGCTTAGGGGCATGTAGAGGGAGTTTGGCTAGTGTCTGGCGGCCACTCTTGTGTGAGAAGAGGCCTGAAGTTTGTTTGAGGAGTGCTGGCTCAGTGGTTCAAGTTTTGGGCTACTGATCAGAAGTTTGGTCCTTGTATCCAGCCTCAATTGTAAGTCACTTTGGACAAAGGTTTCAGCCAAATGAACACATATGAAGGTAAATATAAATGTTTGGAGAGGTGTGGACTAAGCAGTCAAGGTTTTGGATATTTTGGAGCATGTGATGCAGACTATTTAGACTGCATGATGATTGTGCAACATTTAGAGGAGATTTTGGGGTTGTCCATGGTGTTTGGAGCATGTAATGGGCAATGTTTCTGGGATATTTGTGGAATGTAGTGTAGGATTCTGGAATGTAGAATAAGAATGTGGGAGAGTTTGTAGTCATGTACGGGAGATTAAGAGTGTAAGGGACATGATAAGGAGGATTGGGTGGTGTTTCAGACAGGGAAGGAAGTTTTGCAATATAGAGGAGATATAGGAGTGTTCACAGTGGAGAATCTAGAGGAGGACTGAGGAAGGTATAGTGACATGTGGACAGTGTTTCTGGGGGTTTGTGGGATGTAATGGAGGATTATGGCATTTAAAGGTTTTGTGGGTGTTTGTTGAGGTGAGGTTAGTAGGGGAATGTAGAGAACACATGGGTGAGGGACCAGCAAGTGGGGGTTGTGTATTGTTTAGGAAGATGAGGTAGAGGAGGTCTGAGTTATTATAGGGTGTGTAGTTGAGATTTGAGACTGTTAAGAAAGTTTGGCAAACATTTTGAGGATGATTTGTTTGGCAGTGGGACATAGAGAAGATTTTGGAGTGTTCTTGGTGATTGATGCATATAGTGAACGTTTGGGCAGCATTTAGTGTAAGTTGGGGTGTAAGATTCTGGAATTTAGTGGAGGTTTTTGGAGAGTTTGTTGCCCTGAGGGTCATGTATATTAAGTTTTGGTTAGTTTAGAGGAATACAGAGATGTTTTGATGGTGGCCGGGATTTGATGGAAGATCACTGGGAACTGTTTGGTGTGTGGCCTATGCTGTGGAGATTTTGGATATTTTAGGCACTATGGTCCAGATTCAGAAGTGTTTGGGATGTTTGGGGTGTGTTCACAGTATTAAGACTATATAATGTAGGTTTGGGTGTTTTTGACAGATTTGTGGCATGTTTTGGATGGTTCTGGAGTTTAGAGGAGGTTCGGGAGTGTTTGTTGGATTTTGTATTATTTAGAGGGTGTTTGGATAAGTAGTGGAAATTTGGGAGTGTTGGATTTGGAATGTAGAGGACTTTTAAGAAGTGTACAGCAGGATGTGGGATATATAGTGGATATTTTGGCAGTGTTTTAGAAAGATTTAAAAAGGTGTCCATTTTGAAGAGGGTTTGTAAGTGTTTAGTGGCATTTGGGCAATGAAGAAAAGATTGGGCCAGGTTAGGGGCATGAAGAGCTCTTGGGCCTTTGTGGTATTGCCATGATTTGGGAGTCATGAAGTTTGGGAAGTATATGGTGATGTGTGGGGCAGAAAAGGAGCTATGTGGACTGTTTGGGAAGGCA